ACCAAGTGATTCCCATTCCCTTTATCAGCTAACTTTCTGGATTTGGTACACAGAACAAGATAAAACAAAAAGACTCTTGCGGCACTTTAAAGACTGACAAATTTATTTGAGCATAAGCTTTCGTGGGCCGGAGGCCACTTTGTCATATGTACGAAGTGGAAATGTCAGTTTGATAGGTACATATCCATATCCATAGATAGGAGTGTTGCATTACTATGTGGAGGACTAATGCTAATAAGGTCAATTCAGTCAGGATAGATGTGGCCCACTCCTGTATTAATGTGTGTGTGTGTATATATATATATATATATATATATTCCTGCCTAACTGATGTTTCCATTTCATGCACCCGACAAAGCAGGTTACAGCCTACAAAGGCTTGTGCCCAAATACATTTGTAAATCTTTAAGGGGCCACACAACTCCTCCTTGTTTTTGCTGAAACAGATTATCACGGTTACCCTTCTGAAACGTGTGAGAACAAGATAAATGTACCATGTGGTGTCTTGAATCCCAGTGATATATTGCTTTTGGGTACATTCACTACAACGTAGTATCATAGGGCATGACATACGTCTGCTTTGCCCTTGAGACAAACATAAGAAAGTAGAGATAATCCACAAATGTAAGAATATTATGGACCGGGATGAGAGGAGAATGTATCCCACATGGTTTGGATGTAGGGATGGGACAGAGATAGATGGGCAGTAATAGCAATGAAAGTTAATATGACAAATCTCCCAGTCTTCCAGTGGTGGAAGTAACTTAAAATTCCTATTACAACCCGGGTCCCTGCCAGCTCTCTGAATAGCTCTCTGCTGGCTTTTGCTGCAGTTCAGCCAGCTCTTGCCAGAGCTGTGCACTGGGACACACCCGCTTTCACCTCTGCTCTCTACCCTTGACCAATTCTGGAAAGACCTGAGGAGGAGGACAGAGACATAAGCAGCCCTTAGTGTACTGGTAAAGCCTATAGAATAATCCGACTCTCTCTTTGATGCAACTGTCACAGTTTCAGGGAACCTGCACTTGTATTCTCTGCTCTGTGATCCACTCCAGAAGTGCCCAGACAGGTCTTCAGCAGTCAACTGTCTGGAAGGGATCCTTGTCCCACTGCCACTGACCCACTGCGAGATTTAAGGCTGCCCAGCTCCTGCCTTACACTGTAATATCCACAGCAAGCCTGTCTGCCTGACAGCCAATGCTTGTGCATTGATCTCAGTTTCTGGGGGGGGGGTTATTTCCAGTGTGTAGCCAGCAGTAACAAGTTACTAAGTGCCAGCAATGCCCCACTGCCACGTATATTGGCCAAACTCGGCAGTCTCTCTGACAAAGGATTAAAGGACACAAATCAGGTATTCAAAATGGTGACACACAGAAACCTGTTGGGGAACATTTTAACTTGCCTGGGTACTCATTAATGGATTTAAAAGAGGCCATCCTCTTACAAAGTCATTTCAGGAACCAGCTAGAGAGAGAAACTGCACAACTGGCTTTCATATGCAAATTTGACACACTAAGCCAGGGACTGAACAAAGATGTTTCTTGGATGGGCCATTATATTCTACACCCAAATAACAGCAAAAGCTAAGTATCAGGCACTTACAGTCCACTTTATTAGCCTCATTTAGCATGGACACTTTAATTGACAATTTTTTTTCTTTCCCTCCCCCATCTCCTCTTTTTCTGCTACTTATTTGTACCTCTGGATCCCTTGCTCTATTCATCTGAAGAAGTGGGTTGTGCCCATGAGAAAGTTCATGTTACTATCTATATGTTTTGTTAGTCTCTAAGGTGCTACAGGACCATTTGTTGTTTTTTAAGTTTTTTTAAGTTATCATACAGTTATTTCTAAGGCCCTGTCTATACTAACCCCTGCTGTTGACATATTAGTTGCTGCATCTTGCATGTGGTACGGTCAGCAGGGACTGCTCTCCTGTGGATGACGGTTTCTCTTCTCATCCTGGTGGAGTACCAGCATCGATGGGAGAGCACTCAGAAATCGACTTATCGTGTTTAAGGGACACAATAAATCAACAGCCAGTGGATCTATCACTGCAGCATGCATCCCTGGTGTAGTAGAGACAAGCCCCAAGCAATTATAATTATTCTTGAAATAGACGCAGTAAAGAGAAGCCATAAAAACCAATAAACAGATTTAAATACATGCTGAACATACCACACATCAGTCTTAAGGGGCCCTTGTAAGCAAAAGTCTTTCCAACCTTTCCATGAGGACTGCTCCTCCCTCTTCTCCATGGACAGAAAGTTCTGTTTGATTGCTGGATCAGAAAGAAGTCCCTGGGTTAGTTCAAGACCATCCTGTTATACCAAATGCGCTTTGTCTGCTAGTCCCTGGGAAACCCAGCTTAAACCAATATATGCAAACCACTCCAGGGAATGGTCCCCCTCTAGAGCTGTTTAGACTCAGGGCACATCTACACTGCAGGGCAAAACTCAAATTAAGCTATGCAACTTCATCTACGTCCGTTGTGTAGCTGAAGTTGAAATAGCTTATTTTTGGCTTTTGGCACTGTCTACACAGCAGGAAGTTGAAAGAAGAACACTCTTCCTTCAACTTCTCTTACTCCTTGTGAAATGAGGGTTACAGGAGTCAGAGTAAGAAGTCCTCCAACTCGACATTATTTTGAAATAATGGCTTGCTGTGTAGATGTGGTCTTTGTTATTTTGGAATAATGTCAGTTGTTCTGAAATAACGCTGCTGTGTAGACATACCGTCAGTGAGTTGCCTTAATCTCACCCCACACACACTGTTTTTAGCTTCAGGAAAAGTTGTGGTAATCTTCCCCTGTGGAGTAGAGGACAGTCTTATATAAACCATTCATAAAGTGCTTTTAAAAATCCCACCTTAAGTAGGCCTCCACTGTGATTTATGTCTCGCTGCAGATGTTTTCTGTGCTTGTCTTGCCTTCTGAGCCTCTTGTCCTATGCTTGACGATTTTTGTTTCAGTCACCAAAACATATGATGATCAGAAATGAAAACTGAACCCAAAATCCCCTGCATAACATTCAGAGCTGGCATGTGCAGGTGCAATTCCTGTTGTCTGGAGGGGGCGGGGCGGTGAGAGGAGAGGTCAGCCTTGCTTAGGAAATGGCAGAAGTTGGTCTTCTTATTCTACCCCTGATTGTGGTAGAACAGGGGACTAAAAGTCAGAAAACCTGGTCCTGTCCCTGGCTCTGACACAGATGTCCTGTATGACCTTGACCAAATCACACCTCTATACATTTTATTTAAATAAAGAGAATAATATTTCCTTGCTTTGCATGGGGATGGGTGGTCCTGAGTATGGATTATTGTTGTCTGTAAAATGCTTTGTGTTGTGAATGGTGAATGTTTCTGGAATGATAGTGTTAGAGAACGGGTCCCCTGTAAATGTGCAGATCAGATATAGCACAAGCTGTGACCATGCAAACTTCCTCACCCTCTTTCACCAACTGCCTCATCTCTGATATGAATGTAGCAGCTCTAATGTGAGGGGATATGTTGGTCTCCATAACCTATTCAGCTCTTGGCCTCTCTGCTGAGGCTGCTAACAAGGCAGACAGTTAATGCCAATAGCGTTGGTTAAGCTGAGTGCTTGTTGTTTTGCCTCTCTTAGGGCTCTGTTGGTTTGAAAAGGGAACATTACAAACAATCCAAGAGTGAAGTCTTATAAGAAAAATTAGCTGTTCAAAGTAAGTAACTTCTAGGCTTAGTTACAGTAACAGATAATCTATTAACATTTCACATCAGTTTAGGTACATTGCAGTCAGTAAATAAAAATCAGAGACCTGAGTCAAATGAAAAGCAGAATTTATAAATGTGACTATATTAAAGGGATTCTTTTAAAAAACAATTCAGCCCCTCTAGCCATTGCTCTCTGAGAACACATCTACACTGCAGGGCAAAAGTCAAATTAAGATACGCAACTTCAGATACGTCAATTGCGTAGCTGCAGTTGAAATAGCTTATCTTGGCTTTTGGTGCTGTCTATAGAGCAGGCAGTTGAAGGAAGAACATTCTTCCTTTGACTTTCCTTACCCCTCGTGAAATGAGGGTTACAGAAGTCAGAGTAAGAAGTCCACAACCTTGAAATTATTTTGAAATAATGGCTTTCTATGTAGACATGCACTTCGTTATTTTGAAATAACTGATGTTATTTCGTCGACGGAGCCATGTAGTCTAGACATACCCTGGGAGACTAGAGAACTGTCCCAGTGGAATCAGAGGAAGAAGTGGTGCTTAACCAGGAATCAGAGGTGCTTAACCAGGGCAGAGTGTGGCATAATTGGCACTGAATCTTACAAAGTAAAGTGCCAAACTGAGACAAAGCAGGATACTAAAGGGCAGATTTTTGCATTTAAAAAAGAGCAAAATTGTGTTCTAAACTGGAAGCAGGAGGGCTGTAAACAAGGATGGAGTGGCCTGGGTCCCATTAGTTAGATCTGTGGTGTCTAACCAGTTCTGAAGCAGTAGCTATTGTAGTGGCTACTGCTATAGTGACCTACCCACCCTCAAACAGCCAAATAGCCATATTCTTCAAGCCAACTAGCCACACTCAACCAGACAAATAGCCACATGTGGCTAGTGGCTAGCAAGTTAGACACCATGGAGTTAGATAGTCTCTGCCACGTCTCCTTGTGTCTGAACAGTTTTGTGCTGGCATTCACCTTAATCAATCTCCATCTGCTTCCCTCCACTTTCTCCAGAAGCCATGCCCCACTTCTTGGATTGGTTCGTGCCAGTGTATCTGATGATCTCCATTCTCATCTTGGTGGGCTTCGGAGCTTGCATATACTACTTTGAACCAGGCCTGCAGGAGGCCCACAAGTGGCGGACGCAAAGGCCGATCATGGAACGAGATCTTCGGAAAACACTGATGATACGGGATAACCTAGCCTTTGGGGTGCCTGAGGTCTAGTATTCTGCATGTGGAGAGTTTCTAGAAAAAAAGCCAAAGTGTGGTCTTTTCTGGGTGGGCTTACAAGGATAGGTCTGAATGCACATTTCACTCTCTGCTGACACAGATCTCTGTTAATCATCAGAGTTACCTCTTTTTTTCTTCTCCAAGGCAAGATTTGTGCACCTCTATTAACTCAAGGCTTTCAGGTCTCCCTAAGCAAGATGGTCATTACTCGGTAAAGGATTCCTGCACCACTCCATGACCTGGATTTTTGGATCCATCAAAGGTAAAAGTCTCTGTTATTCATTATCCAGAGGAGGATACATGCACCTATTCGTTACCTTTTAAAAAATTCTTAAGGGTACCAGAGGATCACACATAGACTTGATATGGGACATGAATCCTTTTACTGATAGTTCACTGGTTTAAATCTAGCCCAGTTTGCTAGGGTATGAAATGGGTTGTTATTGGATGCCTCTTTGACGACTTATGTAAGGTGACTTTGGTGGGGCTCAGCACAGTTCTTCGTGGTCAACTGTGCACATCACAGAAATCACCAATGCCCCCGAATTGGCATCAGTGTTTTGAATCTCATTAGAAAGGCTAAGGATTGAATGAGCCATGGAGAGTGAATTCCCAACTCTCCCTTAGAGGTGATCTTCCCAGCTCAGGAGTGAAACACACAGGAGGGGCAAAATGAGTGAAGATTGCATTACTGATGCCCATGTTATACCTGTTTGGGAGATAGAGGACTTCAGTCTCTAGGGCTGTCAATCTGCACTTTCATGAGCACTACATTCATACAAAATGTTCTTCTGAAGAGGTCTGTGTGGATCTCTTGCACCTCTCCTTGACCCAGGACTCTGGATTTATTGCATAGGTCTCAAGAGATCCACTACTAGACATTGGATCTTCTGCATCTGATCATGACCCAGGGATCAAGGGTCCTTTATTATAAATAGATTTGCACTCCTTTGGTCGTCTATTCTACGGCACTTTTTTAAATGGATCCCTTAGTGCATCAGTTCTGTTGCTGCTCCCTCTTGACTGTCATAATCATTGAAAACTGAAATACTCCCGGGAGAACCATGCACTGTGAATCTCTGATAAGGGACACTGAGCCAAACAGGTAGAGATGGGGCACTACTAATGACTGTGCTTTCTGGATCTCGCCTGTATACTGCAGACCATATAATGTGTATATATACACTGTATTTGCACTTTCCTCCACTCTTCCTAGAGCTGATTTGCTAACAAAGTACTATAAGAAAATGTGACTCCATGGGAGAGTGGGAATCCAGCACCTTTTCCTTTATGGCAAATAATGTGCAAATCATAGCTAATAACACTGGCCCAGCTCAGAGCCAATGACATGAGGTATCCTACAGCAGCTACTACTGTGCCACACTGCTTAGAACTGTGTTAAGTCCTGTTCCATGGTACTTTGTATCTCTTCTGATCCTTCACGCCTCTGACTTTTTCTCATTTACTATGCTAACATGCCCTATTGTCCTCACTTCTTTACACTATATATTACAAAACTCTTGTCTTGACTAGTGATGCCCAGGTATCTACATTCCATACAGAACCACTGTCATGTGATACTGCTGTTCCATTGTCAGTGCATTCCATACCAGCCACGGCCACCTTTTGATACATCCTGCAGCATATTTTATATACTTATTACATAGCCTTTGTTGCCCGATTGGCCACCCTTCTCTACATTTTATTGTAATACAATGCCTGCTGCCCTATTGTGCACATAGCTGTACATTCCATACCATCTGCACACATGAAGTGCTGCTGTTTTGTACACACTTTAGTACATTCCATGTCATCTGACTGCCCATGGTGCTAAAGTTCAGTGCCATGCTCTCTGATGGCTCCACTAGATGCAGGCATGCAGACAAGCTTTCCCCCATCATGGCTGCTGGATCAGCTCACAGCATGTCTTCCCTAGGATGAGGGTTTTGCAGACAGTGATAATTCTCACTGGAAACTGTTGACAGAGCTTTTTCATCCATTACTGAATGAAGGATGGAGAACATAGTGGGTGACTTGTCATGGGGGGGGGGGAAGTTGCTTGGGGAATAACATTTAAGTTAGCAGTGATGGCTTTAGTACAAACAGAAACTGTCTTCGACATCTGGCAAATGTCATTGGTCTTTATTGGCCATTTCATCTGCCCAGGTCAGATAAAGCACCATCATTCACACAAGATCCCAACTGGGGGGGGAGGGAGAGGAGAGAGAGGACTTCCTAGGTCTGTCAGGCATCTCAGATGCAGGACAGTTGAATCCCTACATTAAGACTGGAACATGGTGATCTTGAGGCAGGTGTCATAACATGGGTTGTGAGTCAGGAAAATACTGAAGCATGTGCCTAAATTTCCATACATAAGTTGTCCTACGTGCTAGTACCTTGCTGAATCAAAGCCATAAAGGTGCAAATGTCTCAGTGCAGCATCAGTGTAGCATCTGGTGATGGTTGTGTTCCTCAGTATGAATACCAATAAATGGCAGCCCTCGATCTCATTGACAATATCTATTGCCCAAAGGTCACTCAAATTAATAAAGCCATAGTCTCTGAATGTTATCTTAGAGACCTGCCTCTTGGGCCTTGACTGTTGTAATCTGGTGGTTAGGCCACCAATGCAAATGGACCCCAGGTTGAACAATGGGGAAGCAATAAAAACCTTTGGACTAGAGATCCAGGAGCTCAGAGATGTCAGGGACAGGTTAAAATATTCCCATAAGACCAAGGTTCTACTTTTTGAAAAGACTGAAGCTAAGGAAATCTTTCTCTCTGTGTCTCGTGTTCCCAATTTCTTTTTATGAAAGAATCCCTGTTAATGTGTGTATAGCAGTCATCCCACAGAGCCAGTCTGCCCTCCAGAAATGGCTGGGAGCTGATTCAAGCACCTACTTACAGTCAGGGGGTCTAACAGTTCCTGTGGAAAGGGTAAAAAAGGACCCACCATAGACACTGACCTCTCCTCCCATTCAGGCAGCCCCCAAACCCTGGATAGATGTACATTGCCAGGAAGTGATGGGGATCTTGGACTATGTTTAAATTGTCCAGGGGTGGGGATGGGGAGGATGGAATGTCTTCAGGAATGTCACCAGCATGAACTCTACAATCACTTGTATTTCACCAGCAGAAAATTCATCTTCATAAGCTACATTTAAAAAAAACAGGAAATGAATGATTGAGTCTCGTGCCAATGCTGTGTGGGATGTGACAGGCAGCCTGACTGTCTGGAACAACTCATATCTTCAGTGTGTGGGGGTATCCCTATCTGTTTGTGCCTAAACTGACTCGTAAATGAATCTCCACTGATCCTACTATGAAACAGAGCTACAGAATCATACTGGAGAAGGGGCTAGACTCAGTAGTCTGTCATTTCTCTCTCTGAACCCTCTGGATCTCTTTCCTGTTCTGTGCCATTCTCTGTGTATAGTCTATTCCCACATCCCCCAGGCCCTGGATTAACTGGATGAAATTGAACAGAAAGAAAATGAAGTGAATCCTCCAGTGGGATCCATTAAGTCTTGGAATAGTCTCCCTAGGGCAATAGTGAAAACCCTGTCACTTGGGACTTATTAAAGCAAGACTGGACAGGGTCTTGAAGACTATATTATAGGGAAGAATCCCTCATGGGCAGCTGGAGGGCCTAGATGTGTTATAGCAAGTACCTGCCATCTTTCACTTGTCTGACACCTCTCCCTGTTCAACTGTCTGATGCCCCAGTACTGTGAATACCCACCTTTAGCCTAACAGCTAAAATAGACATAAGCTCCAAAGCTCTGTTTGATTAGATTGTTTTTTTCAGTGTGTGTTTTGCACTGTTTGGTCCTGATGAAGTTAGCACTAACAGTCAAGTGTTTTCCACTGTTACTTTGTAATTTATTCTCATTAGAGTCAAAAGTCTATATAATAAGTGTATGTAATAAAATGTGTATTAGTGACGTGTTTTCTGGTGCTTTATTATTCTTGGGGTTTATTTTTAATGTAATATGGGTTTGTTAAATTCTATCTGGGATTATACTGGCTACTAGATATGAAGTCATTGGAGAGGGGCACGTCTACACAGCAGAGTTACTTTGAAATAATGTCCATTACTCCAGAATATCATTATGTGCTGTCTACACAAGAAGCCTGCTATTTCAAAATAAACCTTGTTGTATGAGGACTAAGGAGGGCAGCGGAATAGCGATGTATTTCAAAATAAGTGCCGTGTAGACAGCACCACATTTTGAAATAAGCTATTTGTAAATAAGCTAAGCAGTTTGTGTAGCTCAAATTGCGTAGCTTATTTCGAGCTACACACTACTATGTAGATGTACCCTTAGAGGTCTATTAGCAGGAATCTTGATGGTGTTTTTTACTTTTCTTCTCTAAAAGGCCTATGCACCACTTAATCCCTACAGTCCTTCAGAGGGACTTCAGTGGTTCATAGGCTTTGTACAGGCCCCATGCACAAAGGGGACTTTCATCCACAGAGCCTCAGAGCAGGGATCACTCAGAATAGGTGTTTTGAATCCCTCATGATCATTCTTCTGTGATGTCAGGTGAGAGAATTGGTAGAATTCAGCACTTCATCTCCTATGCCTCTCACCATTTGCACATCTCCCAGTGAGGCTAACAATGTGCTTGAAGCAGGAGTATAGAACGCCTATAACTGAGAATCCCATTTAGCTGAGCAGGCACTGGAGGCTAAAGTATGGGACAGGAAATTGGGAGATTTCCAGCTCTGACTTCCTGAATGGCCTTGGACAAATCATTTAATGACTCATTTTCATCCTCTAGGCTGGTAGGATTAAGTTGGTGGGTGTGTTGTTTGTCATTGGAAATGTAATTTTTTTGTCTGTGCAACTGCATCTCAGAGTTGAGCCTTGGCCTTGATGTTACAATATTGTGACTATTGTTAATGTATAATAAGTTGAACCTCTCTAGTCCAGTACTCTGGTCCGGCAACATCCGTGGTCCGGCATGATTTTAGTTAGTCAGATGTCCACTTATCATGGGTGTGTCCAAGTTTCCCGCGGTCCTATAAAGATTGTTTGCAGCTCCCAGTCCTGGCTCTGTGTTCTGTGCTGTTATTAAGCTCTAATTTACCCTAAATGTCTTCTAAGTGCCCAGTAAGCAGTGGAAGTGTTGATAATGCTGCTAGATAATATTGACCTCCCATGGTTCAGCAAATTCTCTGGTTCTGCACCAGTCAGGTTCAGAGGATGCCAGAATAAAGAGATTCAACCTGTATTTCCTATAACAGTTGTATAATGGAAATTAACAGGGGCAGCAATAGTTGAATAATATTCTTGAGGGAGAAAGAAAAGAAAGCTGTAATCTCTCTAACATCAAGCAGTCACAGCCCACTGAAGACATCAGGTATGGATGTTTGTAGTTTTATACATTTAATGCAGGCCAGTTCTTTATCTCAGTGGTTTCAGTAATGCATGCTCTGAGTATATCTTAGAGTAATTAAGCAGGAGGAAAATTGCTGATTGTCAGGAAATATTTCCTCACAGTGAATTACAGCTAAATGTGGAGGATCCTCTGAAGGGAAGGGGGAGTAGTCCCAGTGCCTGGAAGATTTATAACAAAACTGGAAAAATCACTAGAGAAGAAACTATAGAAATAAGAATAATGCTGCAGTGGTCAGAAGAGACGGGTGGATTAGATTATCTCATAGGTCAGTCAAGGCAGGTTGCTTGAAGAGAGAAGCCAAGCCAAAGGGATCCAGAAATACCAAACAAGGGTAAAACTGAACAGGAAGAGGCATATACACATGGATTGGGAATATATTTAAAAGCACCCCATACTACAGGGCTGCCAGGGTGCTTGTAACCCACCCACCTGCAGAATGTGTCAACACACGAAAAAAATAAATCCACATAATAAACTATTCACTTTCAAAATAGTATTTTGATAATATTCTATCCCAGCCCCTACCTATGCAGGTGCTGTGCTAGTGTAACTCCATACATTCAATACTGGGCAATCCAATGATCTCCATTGCAGTTAGAAATTGGTTACACTAGAAGAAGTGCACAATTTTTCTCCTTGTTTTCCGGTATGTAAAACTTCCCATGTATTGGAATTCTGTCATGAAAACAGCCCATGGGGACCTCTGACTCACCCTCTCTTTAGATTGTTCGTCCTCCTATTCAGAAGGGGCCAGCTGATTGTATACCAATGGATTGCCATGGCATGCTTCCATCTCCTCATTTTATTTCCTTGCTTTTGTTTGTTTTTCTATTTATCTTGGTTTGATTTGTCTTCTGGGTTGACATCATGGAACACAAAAGATGAACAAAAAAGGGTGCATTTTAAAAATGGCCCACAGTCCTACCAAGACAAGTCACAATTGCAGTAGTGCTGTAAGTCAGGGAGTGGTCAATACAAGGATGAGATACCTCCCAGGAGAACACAAGTGCACATGTGGACGATTAGCACTGAATCGATGCTGTAGCATGCCTTAGTGGCTTTTGTGCTGCTGGAAGTGCTGTATTTCCATGGAGCCATGGAATCAAGCTCCAGGACTCCTGGCACTTTTCACATGGAAAGACTTACTTTACTAACTCAAACTCTAGCCAAATGCCAGTCTGGGTAATTACATTCTGCCCACCCTCAATAACCCCCAGGCAGTTTCAGACAAAAGTTATTCTGCACATCCCTGTCACAGCGGGCAGTCAGCCCCAGGGCACCTCTTCTTGGTTGCTTTGGGAATTAGCTCTTCAGCCCTGGAGTGCCCCCTTTCAGCTGGTCTCCTGGCTGCTGGTACCATCCTAGGTCAGTGCCCCTGCACTCTAGGGTCCGCCCCTCCCAGGGAATCCCCAGTCCCCCTACAACACCTTGCCTCAGTGACCCACTAGTCATCATAGACCCTTATCTCAGGGGCAAACTGCAGCCTGAAATGGCCACTCATCATTGGCAAGGGGGGATGGACCTGCTGCCTTTGCTTATCCTGGCTGTTTCCCTGCAGCCTTAGTACACTCAAGCCTTGCCTCAGGCCCTGCAGCCTGGGAATAAGGTGAGGCCAGAACTCCCCAGCACTGCTCTATCTACAGCCCTAGTATTCTTAGGTATTGTCTCAGGTCCTGCACACACTATGTCTACATTCGTGGCTTCTTGTGCCAGAAATATGCAAATTAGGCTAAGTGTGGAATATTGCCGAGCCTCATTTGCATACCTAATGAGCCACCATTTTGCAGAAGAGGCTCTTGTGCCAGAAGGAGCTGTCTACACTGCCCCTTCTTGCGCAAGAAAAAACCTCTTGTGTAATGCCGTTCTTCCTGAAAAGTAATTGGCGTAATGGCATTGTGCAAGAGGGCTTTTCTGGCACAAGAAGGGGCAGTGTAGACAGCTCCTTCTGGCGCAAGAGCCTCTTCTGCAAAAATGGCGGCTCATTAGGTATGAAAATGAGGCTTGGCGATATTCCACACTTAGCCTCATTTGCATATTTCTGGCACAAGAAGCCGCGAGTGTAGACATGGCCTGGGAGTGAGGTTAGGCCAGAGCTCCCCAGCTCTGCCTGCCTCTTCCCAGGACTGCTCTGTCTCAGGAAGCTTCCAGCTTCCCTGGCAGCCAGGTCCCTCCTACTCCTCAGCTAGAGCAAGAGCGTGTCTGTCCTCCTTCCTTCCAGGAACCCTTATCTATGCAGCCCCAGGTTGGCCCTAATTGTCTGTCTCTGCCTCAGCTCCAGACTCCACCCTCTCAGCCCTCTCCCAGGGCTGTGTTTTAACCATTAAAGGGCCAGTGTGGGGCAGATGCCACTTCATATTCCCTTTCTAAAATCTATATATTTTAGAAATGTGCATCTGTCTGTTCATGAGTCTGTTTGTTCAAGAACTCCTCCAGAACAGTAAGAGCTAGGACCACCAAATTTGGTATGCTGCATCCTCTTATAACTTAAAACAAGTTCAGGATTTGGTTGTGCCAGGAAAATAGGAAGTGCTGGGAATGGGAATGTTTTCCATAACATGGAAAGGAAGGGGGCACGGATTGGAGGGATGTGATACTGAGAGTGGCCACTGGGGGCAATGAGTGCACAGGAGAGCTATACAGCAGCTTGACCCCTGGGAGCAGCTGCACCACGGAGTGACCAGAAGGGCTGGGGGCTTGCCATCTTGCCTGCCACCAGACCAGGTAAGTAGCCTGTGCCTCAAATCCTTCCTCCCAGCCTTTGTCTGTGCCTGCAGCACTAGGGGGAACACCTCTGCCAGATGGGGAGACTGGGGGGGCAGAAGGCCCCTGTCGGCTAGAGAGGAAGACAGGAGGCCCCTGCCGGCCAGGCAGGTTTGGTGGGGAAATAGTAGATCCCTGCCAGAAGGAAGGGTTGGGAGGGAGAGAAAGCCCCACCAGATGAGACCCACTCACCCTGAGCTGCTTCTCACTCCCCAACTCTCACTCTTACATGCCCTCCACATCCCCAGTCCCCTGCTCTGCTCCCTCTTCATCCTCAAGTCCCTGCCCTGACTCCTGCACTCTTCCCCCTACACTGCCCGCTCCCTGCTGTAAAGGACCCAGGCAACACTGGATAAGTCTTGTAGTATCTATTATAATGTTACACCCCATGGATGCACTAGTAGGGTGAATACATGATTCCTGTATATATAATTGAAGAAACGCTAACAGTTTTGTTATACATTTTTGCATATTTTTGTTGATACCCAAAATTTTGAAACTTTTCCATTTTTTATTTTCATTTTTGGTCCCTCCCCTTTTTCAACCTTTATTTATTACTGTTTGCCACTGAATTCAGAAGAGTGTATACTCCCTGCATTTTCCATTTTTCCTTTTGCCACTTCGTAATGTTTCAAAACTTCCAACAGTTGGAAAAGTTACAGAATAGCAAAATGAAACTCTGTTATTTCTCAAAAGTTGGAGAAATTTCAAAACATTACAAAGTAGTAAAAGGAACAGAAAAAAATGTGTGTATAGAAACCCAACCCCTAGATATGAGGGGGGAGAGAAAAAAACAAATGACAAAATCTTTAAAATTTAAAAATTTTCAAAATATTTTACTAAATAAATATATATATAAAACAAATTTTGTTCAGTTTTGAGCCTCAGAAACAACTGAACATTTTCACACAATTGTTCCTTTTAATATAAAGAATAAAAATGATGGTAATGAGCCATCTCAGTAATACATGAAGGATATAGGCTGCATAGAAGTGCAGCGTGTTTTGAGGATTTCACCTGTCTGAGGAATCCACACCTTTGGTTCTGCCATATGGATGGACTCTGCTTTGGCAGGGAATGACAGAGTTAGGGAGGCAAGAATGTGCGAGGGTCACAGGGCAGGAATGGCTGCAATGCTAAGATTCCAAGCCCTTCAGGCCTTCCACAAACAGCTCCTTGTTCCACCCCCTGCATCTCTTGTGTCCTGTCAATGCTGGGTGTGGGGAGGGGAGGGGAGAATGACGATGGGGGTGATGTTCCTCCCAGTTACTGTAAGTAGGTCAGAGGCTGGAGGTTGTCCAGGATACTCAGCCAAGGCTTTGAAGCTAGATCCAGGCAAGGCAGATTGCTTGAAGAGAGAAGCCAGCCAAAGGGATCCAGAAAGCCAAACAAGGACGAAACTGAATGGGAAGAGGCATATACACATGGATAGGAAATATATCTTAAAGCACCCCCTGCCACAGAGCTGCTTGTAACCCATCTAGCTGCAGGCACAGCTATTCCAGGCTTGAGATCCCCTACTACAGCTCAGTCAATGCATGTGAACCTGGCAGCTCCCCTTCTTCTCAACCCAATGCCCAGCACTCACGGCTCTGGTGATGCAGCTCTTTCTAAACACTCGGTTCTGGGCCGTCTCATGGTGCTGCTTCATCCTGGCTTGTTACTCTCTATGGGTCTGTCTACACCGCACGATTTTTTTTGAGATAACTAGCATTACTTCAGAATAACAATACGAGCGTCAACACAGCAGTTATGTTATTTCAAAATAATTTTGAAATAACAGAAGGCTTATTCCAAAATCTGTAAACCTCATTCTACGAGGAATAATGCCTATTCCAAAATAGCTATTTTGAAATAAAGCGTTTGTAGATGCTCCACTGCTGCTATTTCAAAATAGCCCCTCACCAGGGCCATTCTAAGCTATTCCTCCCCAGTGCCTCCTGGGGCTCTAAATTGATATAGTACATCTACATTAGAGAAGCCTGCCTTACACTAATTTTGAGGCTTCCCTGCAGTGTAGGCATGCTATTTCAAAATAAGCTATTTGAAATAGCTGGGCAATGTAGACATAGCCTATGTTATCCCAGTCCTGGGGATGCCCAGTTCACACGGTTCTGCCAGTGTATCTCTGTCCTAACCTACCATGCCTCAGGCGTTGCCAGTCTTTCCCCCCCCCCCTCCCCCCCGCCTAGCTCCTGACTTTGTGGAAAATTATTGGGACTTTTCAGGAACGCTGACAGACCAGAGGAAGCAAAGGTGCTGCAGGCGAGTTAATACTTTTGCAATGCCCCAGTGTGTTGCTAGAGAGCACTGTGCTGAAGGAGGTCCTGGTTTTCAGACCTAAACCAGGGCACTGACACACTCATTCTGTTTAAAGATTCTGTGGTAAAATTTGTAAGACGGAGGTGTTAACCCTGACATCCCAGGTATGTCCTAACTTTGATCAGTGCATTCCTCTGGTCTAAAAGCCTCCTTTGGTGTCAGGTGAACACAGTTATCCTAAAATTGTGCAGTGACTGGCTCAGAATGACTGCCACATTCCTTCCCAGCAGAAGTTAAGGTGTGAGAGACTGCTGGGTGGGAAGGATGTAGCGGAAACACAGCTCCCCCTTCTCTCCTTGTCTTGTTGGAGCAGCATCCTCAGACTGGTCCCTCTCCTTCTTGGCTGGAGCTCCCCTTCCTGTTTCAATCTACTCTAACTGCTCCTCCCCAGACTTGGCTGCATTGTATCAGGGAGTAAGGGAGTAATCCTGCAGATGAAATATTCTATGTGGAAATGCCAGCCATGAATATTCTCGTGTGCCTCAAGGTTCTTTTGATTCCCTTGTCCTTGTTTTTCAGTTCCTAGCCTGGCTTTTTATGAGTGCTCTCATTCACTCTCTGCCCACTCCCTCTGTCTGTTGGGGCCAGCTGTGTCCCTCCCCAAGCTCTCCAAGTCTCTTTCTCTCCCACTTACTTTTAACAAAGCTGAGAAAAACTTCCTACACTGTAGAAAGAGAAGGAGAGAAATCAGGAAGGATGGATGGCAGGAGGAAAGGCTCTGGTGCATTTTGTGTGGCTGTGTCCCCGGGACAGAAGCCAGGAGATCTGGATATTTTGTGATCGATGCTCCTGCTAAACGCCACTGTGTATAAAGCCTCCCAGCCTGATTAACCACAGGCTGGGGGAATTTGGCCCCAGGCTGCCCCCTCTGAGAAATGTGGAATATCCCTTTCACCAGCTGAGGGATCTGAAACATCAGCTGCTTGGTCCCAGCTAACAATTTACCCTCAGTTGCTGCTCTTGAAGAACCAGGTAAGCTCCTAAATTTCCCCTTCTTTATCAGAGAGTCAGATGAAGAGGGCAATGTACTGGGCAAATCTGAGTCTTCTGTGAGCTGATTTTGACTTATCTTAGGACAGGGAACTCCAACCTTTTTAACCACATGATCACTTTTTCTATTTAAGTGCAATGTAAGATCTACCTCAAACCCAAGTACCCTTGCCCCATTTCCTTCCCGCCCCTTCTTTGAGGCCCTGCCCCTCCTCTATCCCTTCTCTGAGGCCTCACTCTGCTCACTCCATCCCTCTTCCTCTCCCATCCTCACTCACTTTCACCAGGCTGGGGTAAAGGGTTGGGGATGCAGGCTCTGGTCTTGGGCCAAGGGGTTTGGAGTGTGGGAGGAGCTCCGGGCTCAGCCCAGGGTGGGGTATTGGGGTCCAGGAGGGGTTTCAGTGTGCAAGCCTGGGAAGGAGTTTGGGTGCAGAGGGACTCATGTCTGGCATAGGAGGTTGGGTGTAGGAGGAAGTTCAGGGCTGGGACAGGGGTTCAAGAAGCAGGCTCTGGCTGGGCACCATTTAACTGAGATGGCTTCTGGGTGGTAGAGCAGTGGGGTTAAGGCAGGCTTACTCCTGCCCTGACCTTGCACCACTCCTGAAAGCAGATGGCATGTACAGCAATGGCTCCATGGTGCCATGTGCTGCCCCTCATCTACAGGCACAGAGCCCACAGCTTCAACTTGCCATGCTTCCCCATTATTGATTAATGGGAGCTGCAAGAGTGATGTCTGCAGGCAAGGACAGCATGTGGAGACCCCCTGCTTTGCTTTTCTCAGGGGCTGCAGGGACATGCCAGCCACTTCCAGGAGCAGCAATTACCATGGGGATAATTACTCCAGTCACGACAGGTTAGGCATTTTAGAACTCACTACTCAAAAAATTAAATTTAAGCGCAAGATAGAAATGAAAATTATGAAATGGACAGGTGAGTCAAAAACCAAAAATAAAATACTTTGCAAGCAGTAAAAAGAGTAACAACAACCCCCCACGTATGTGTTGGGTCGGGAGATGCAAGTGAAGGACAGTGTGTTTGTGAGAGTGACAGACACAAACACAGTGTGTTAGTGTGACAGAGATTTGCATTGCCAAGTTCCCTCTTTCCCCTTCTCTCTGTGTGGAAATAGCGTACAGGAGTGGGGGAAGGAGGGGCACGCTGACATCAGCACCCCCCTCATGGGTGGCAGGGCAGCTGAAGTGCCTGCACTTGACAGTCTCTTGGCCAAACCAGTCAAGATCACCTGTCAGAGGCTCCAAGATCTATTGGTAGATCCGGCAGCCATTTTTATGCTAATGAAGCGGGGGAGATTTAAATCCCCGCTTCATTAGCAATTGCGATACGTCTAATTTGCATCCCTTTTCCAAAATGCAGCCAGTGTGTTAGCGTGACAGAGATTTGCATTGCCAAGTTCCCTCTTTCCCCTTCTCTCTGTGTGGAAATAGGATACAGGAGTAGGGGAAGGAGGGACACCCTGACATCAGCACCCCCTCATGGATGGAGGGGCAGCTGAAGTGCCTGCACTTGACAGTCTCTTGGCCAAACCAGTCAAGATCACCTGTCAGAGGCTCCAAGATCTACTGGTAGATCCCAATCTACTGGTTGGTGACCACTGTCCTAGGAACTACAGCACCTGACCGGTATTCAGGATGCAGGGCATGGCAGAGAAAGGCAAACAGCTCCTCCCCATAGAACAATTATGGTGGGTGGTGGTGAGGGAATTCTTTCTGGCCCCAACTGGGGATTCGTGTATGTGCAGAAGCATGTGGATTGACAGACCTTGTATTTGGTATCTGCCAGGGCATGGCTGAGGAACATTGGCAGGGCACAGCACATGGGGAAACCTGTGATGTCACTGCCCAGCAAATCCAAGCGTGTCTGCCAGCACTAAGCCATGCAGGTGAAGAGTTGATGCTCCCTTTGAATTTGTTTCTTTAGGAAGCATAAAGGTACCAAGTGTATAGGATGGACAAAGACTTCGCTCCTTCCCCTCACAGGAGCCGCAGATGTATTCCAACCCTGGGAGCTGGCACCCCCCCCAGCCGTATCCCAGGTTTATCGGCACGGCACATGGGAGGCGGAGCACTGGCCCCACCCAGCCCCAGGCTGAGAAAGGAAACCCACCCTGATTCCTTCAGCCAGGACTCTGCAAGGCAGATTCCACCTGCAAAGGGGAGTGTGAGCACCAGGCCTAACTCTAGGCTTGCAGGCCTGAGGGAGCTGAGCAGCACTGGGCTGCCCATCCCGTGCCCTCTTTCTCCTGCATCCAGATCCCTTCCGTGGGCTGCGGCCAATGGTTTGGCACCAAGGAAGCTGAGCGCCATCTCACTGACCCTCCGCCGGAGTGGCTCTGCACCGCCACCTCACCGACAACTGCTCCCGTTAGGTTCTTCAAGGAGAGAGCAGCTCCAGGCGCCGCTGGTAAAGGAAGGACCAGGAGGAGGGGAGCTGACCTTGTCAAATCTGCCGCCGTCGCCTGGAGTACAAGCCTGGCTCCCAAGAGTGCCTCTGGGCTGCATGGAGGAGCAAACAAATACCTGGCATGATGGACAAATCAGTGCTGCATATCCAGGATCAGAAATGCCCACCACATTGCCTCCCTCAGGTCCAGATTTCCAGAGATGCTTGGCCCATGCTACCTTATTTCCTCCTCTGCCACATCCCCAAGGGAGGGGGAAACATCCCATGGACACATCCATGACAGCAGCTGGTCAAGAGTGCCAGGTGGCTACCAAGAGATTCAGTGACCCACTTGGTACGGGAATTCTGCAAGGGCGACTTGGATGTGGGAACATGCCATGTCCCGTTCCAGAGATGTGTGCTGAAGGGATGGTTCTGGGGGGCCGACTCTCTGCTGCAGATACCATCTTGTCTCCTGTGATGGACACAGTTGGGCCAACATGTAAGTCAAAGAGGGCAGCTGGACTGGGTTGAGTTTGGGGTCTTGTCCTGAAACATGCTGATGCATGAAGGTAGAAACAGGCATGAGGGTTTAGCTCTGAGGTTTCATCTTTCATGTGGTCCTATTCTCCCATTGTGCTGTTTCATGTGTTGAAATTCCTGCCATCAACCAGTCCTGATGGAGCATTACACTAACTGGGGGTGATAGTGGTAATTTTCCTTCTTATTTTCAGTCACACTTCATAATCATAATGGTTCATCATTTACAAATAGTATGGAAAGAGTTAATAGATGGTTAATACATGTAAGCATGATGCAGACATCTGTGTACAATAGATGCTTACATGTACATCAGAAGATGTTATTAGAGATGATTATCTAATCTAACAAGCTATCCTAGGGCGACCTATTAGACTAGGTAATAATTGAAGAAAACATCTAGCAATTGTTTAGAAGTGGGATTGAATTTTCTTTTTCATTTCTACGTTTTAAAGAAGGAGGTTTTCAAAAACTTCATAAACCCCCCAAACCTTGCCAGTTCTGACTGTTACCCCCCTGGGCCAGCACTGTGCTCCAGCCGGACTACACAGACAGGGAAGTCGCAGCAGTGCAGGATCTTGCTATTGTGATTAGGACTGTGGGGATCTGAAGTGAAAATACAGCTGGTTCTTTTTAGGTGGCAATGCACTGAATGCCTCCTTTAGCCAAACAGGAGAATTCTCTGTAGTCCTCCATGGTCTAGGCCTGAGCTATCTCCAAATTCCTGTCTCAACACATCGGGCAGCTGCAAGTGTTGGCGACATTGAAGCTGATGGAGCCGCAGGGGAGGTCTGGGGCATTCTCAGTGGAAGGCTGTGGGATTCCGTGCCACTAGAGATCACGCTAAGCCTTTGTGGCTAGGTTTCAAACTCCTCTCTGAGCAGACTACCCCCCGGCTCAGTGGTGGCTGAGCAGAGCTTGGCAGTGCTTCCCTTGCAGATAAACAGCAGGATAATCCCACATAAGAAAGTGGCACAGATCATGGGAGGAATGGAAGGTACGGCCCTGCCAGATGAACACCGGTTTCCTTAATCTTGTCTGTGGGGCCTAGATACTGTGTTGCCAGGTGCATCACAAATAAGATGGACAAGCTTCATAGTCCCAAAGTGGAATTTAGAGATTTGATTTGCAGTTTGTCTCTAAATTTGTACTGTTGAGCTAGGGTTGCCAGGTGTCCAGTATTCACCTGGACAGTCCAGTATTTTCACCTCCTGTCCGGTAAAAAAATTCAGAGAATACTGGACACCTAAAACGTCCAGGATTTTCTGAATTTTTCCCCGGCCAAGAGGCGAAAATGGCGGGCACCTGGCAACCCTACAAACACTCAGCGCCTGGCCTCCCCCCACCCCCAAGTCTTCCCCCG